TAAAATCTTTAATATTGATTTTAATAACTTTATTAAAATTAACATTTTAAATAACTCTTTTTAATACATGCATTCTTCATTTGACTTGTAAAAAATGTTGTTAATATTAAATTTCATGCAATTTCTAAGTTCTGCAATATCTTTATAGAGATAGATATATATAGTGATCGCATGCTGATACGTTGTCATGGACTCATATATATATATATATATATATAAGCAATGAAATAAAATTCAATATAATAATTATTTTTTATAAATATTTTGATAATTAAAAGCAAGCGTTACATAGAAAAAAAGTTATTTAATTTAATATTGATTTCTATAATATATATCAAGATCATTAAAATCAGAAGATTATTTCCAGTAATTCTAATATTATTGTTATATTAATAGGTTATGGCATTTTATTTCACTTATTTTATTTTTAAAAGAAGTAATAATTTGATTAGTAAATGTGATAAGAATGATTTAACTGAGAAATAATAAACATAATATATAATAATAATAATTATTATACAATATACAAAAATGTCAATTGATGAAGAAAGAAATATTGTAGTTAAATTTTTAAATGTTTTAAAAAGTATGTTACTAATGATATTTATTTTATATTTATCTTTCAAATAATAAATAATAAAACTTTTTCAGTCATACATTTTTTAATAATTATATTTTATTTGTTTTCTATTACATTTCTTAAGTAAAGAAAAAAGATTATCCTGCATTTGAAGAATCTCTCAGTACATTACAAAATTATGCTGCATCAAAAGGTTTGATGGATGAAGATATTGATTTGTTAGTAAATATTATTATAAATACAGATCTAAGTTAGTATATTTCAAATATTATAAAAAATAAATAATTACATTTTATAAAAAATATAAAATAAGAAATATATTTAATAGGTGCTACTAAATTGGTATCTTTAGCAAAATGTTTAATTCCTCAATATAAAATATCTGAACATGCAGTTAAATCCATTATTTCTTGGTGTTTATCATCTATAAATAAACTTCCTCTTTCTGTATCCATCATTATTATGCAATGGATAATTGGTAATATTACTAATATTAATTTTTAATATTAAAATATAATATATAATAAAATAGATAGAATATTTGAGATTAAAATTAAAATATATGTTTTATAGGTATATTGGATCATCAATTAATAGATAAAAAAGTTATAAATATATATTATGATGTTTTTTTTTATATAATATTAAAAAAAGAAAAATTGGTAAATGTATTTTTTGTTTATATTATAATTCATATAAAAAATTATAATATATATAATTATATTTTCTAATTATAATTAGAAATTTTGATAATAATTATAATATATATATAACTATATTATAAATATATACTATATTATTATAACTATATATATAATATAGTAACAATAATATAGTTATATATTATTGAATATTTTTTTACTATTATCATAGGAAAGACAGATAGCACGTATTATTTATGTATTAACAAAACCAGAAGATGTAACACGTAGAAATATATCTAGATTATTAACCCTCCATCAGAAATATTCAAAACCACAAAAACATATTATTGTTTTATTGTCGTAAGTAATTATGATTTCAAATTTCTTATTTTAAAAATTTAATGTTTTAATTTGTTCAAAATTTATTTTAGATTATTTAAATCTTACAAACCTGAATTAGTTCCTGAAAAAATTCAATCTATAAATACAGAAAGTGTATGGAAACCAATACCTGAAGTTTTACGATTAATGTTTCAAGATGCTAAAACTCGTTTAGAAATCCAACAAACACAAGACTTACATTTGGAATATTTTAATTGGAATACATTTGAAGTAAGTGTAATAATTATAGAATTTACTTAAAAATAAAATTTACAGTTTTTTTAATTTTGACAGTCTAAGAAAACAAAGAAAACTATGACATCTCTATTACCATCTGTAGGATACTTCCAAATTGGTTCTAGTATTTTTCAAAAGAAGAATAAAAAATCTATTTTCGACATTTCTAGGTATATAAATAAATTTTATCATTGTAAATGTTTATTGATTTATATTTTTTTTTTTCTAAAATATTTCAGCATAGAAGAATTGGGAAAATTACAATTAAGTGTAGAATTACCATGTAATGCTATATCTCTTTTAAGTAATACTGCTGGATACCATCTTCTTACATTTAGCAATTTCCAGTATCAAAGTAGATTTTCTTATAATCTTTATAATACTTTAATAAGAGGTATATTTTAAATAATATGTATTACATCTATTTTTAAACATATGTAATATCTTTTTAGAAAAATGTTTAATGTTTTTCATTTCAGCATTTATGTTAGAAAATGAAAAATTTTCTATGGAAGAAATTAATAAGTTACTTGATATGACTATAGAATTTTCACGATATATGCAACAAGATATACCTGTTGTCAATCATTTTCTTGGTGAATATTTGTATTTTAATACAGGCGAATATCAATCAAAATTACTAATGTTATTACAATGGATGACTTCTCTATCTATCAGTGGTATATTTTCAATAAATGTATTTATTAAGGGATTCTATGCAAACTATTATATAATAAAAAATAATATAAATAAAAAAAGAACACTTTTAAGAATAATTTGTAATTGAATATTTATGATTATTATTGTGTGAAAGTATATATATATTCATATATATATTTTTTTTTAACATTACATATATTTAACAGAATTATTAGTAATCATATTAATTTAGAGAATCTTTTTTATTTTAAAATAAATAAAATAAATTTATATGTTAAAGGAATATAATTTAAAAAGATCTCATATTTTTTTAATTTTTTTTTAACGTGTATATAATCCCTTAATATTTATATATATATATATATATAAAAAACATATATTATAAAAATAAAATATTTTTAGATTTACAAGAAAAAATATTAGTACATGTACAAAATATGTTTTATGAATCATCTTTAATGATAAAATGTGAAATCATCAAAACATTAAAAATATTGATAACAAATTTGGTATGTTAAAAAAATTATTTTATTATTTATTTTAATTTTTATAATTTTTTATATCAATAACTTATAATTTTTTATATCAATAACTCAATTATTTTACATGAATTATTTTTATTGAAAGTAGATTAATATCAAAGTTAATATTAATAAAAAAATAATATAATTATTAATAAAATAGTACAATTAAATCTAAAAACATTTTTAAAATATTTTTTGTAGTTTATTAGTCAAGGATTTAAAGAATGCTACCATAAAACACCTGCACCATTTTTAGGACAAAGTACAATGGATAATTTAGAAGAAGTAATTCCTATTCTTACAAAAATCTGTGAAGAGCTTATTGTATCTGGTTTAAATATACATTCATATAATATTTTATTACTTTCAGAAGCATTATCATTTTATGAAGAGGTAAGTAAAAATATATATATATATATAATGAATAAATAATTATACAAATATAATAATAATAAGTTATTATTAAATCAAAATATTATTATATGTGAAATATTAATAATACAATTGTCTAATTTTTTTATTGAAAATATTTAGCTTTGTATATTGGAAAATCAAAGTACTATATTATTTTTTACATTAGCTCCTTCTGCAGTAATTTATGGAGCTTTTGTTACAAAACATCTTGCTATTTTATCAAAAATATGTAAATTATTATTAAGGTATATATCTTATTATTTTTTTTATATTTATAAATAATTTTTTAATTTCAACATTTATTCATAGATATCGCGATAGAAGTTTGCAATTAAAAACTCCTAAATTACAAAAGTTATTCAAGAAAAAAATTTATACAATATCTATTTATGCTCAAGAAATTGTTGAAGCATTATGGTATGATGAGGTATGTAAATATTCCATTTCAGTTATATCAGATATAAAAAAATATAATTAAAATATATAATTAAATATTAAAATTTTCGTTTAAAAATTAATTAATTAAATTAATTAAAAAGTGAAATGCAAATATTTACTTATTCAATTGTTTAGAAAAAAATTTTTATGATATTTTATGTATTATAAATTAAAATTAAATATTTGTTAAATAAAATTGTTTTCATTAATTTAATTTTTAGAAATTTTTGTATTAAAATAATTATATTGAAAGATTATCAATTAATTAATTATAATCGATAATATAAAAATATTATATTTAAAATATTTTTCTATAAAATCATTATAATTAAAAATAAAAAAACTACATGCATTTAATAATATATTTTTTGATAAATTTATATTTTTCAGCCATTTAAGAATCACAAAAATAAATATTTTTTAAAAGATATTCCAATGGATATGATGGAAGATTTAGAAGAATGCAATATAAATTGCCTTTTAAATATTAGTAATCATTATTCAGTTTTACCTTATAAATGTACATTGAGCAAAACTGGATTAAATATTAGCACAAA